GTTAAATTACACTCAACACATCTGTGATAATCACAGAGCATGGCAAATTAAATTGTTCTTTGAGTAAACATGTAGCTGAATTCAGCTCTACTGTGGAAAAATTCAGTATAATTCCTTGCAACTTGGATTATAGAGTCTTATCTCTATGGACTGACAATACATGATGGTCTGAACTTTGACAGCCAAAAAAAAGTTGTATTTAATTTTTAACGCACTTACATCTTTGTCAGCAAATAGTGGAATGTCATGGAAGGGAGAAATAGCCTGGTCACTTTGGTCCCCTGAGAATTTCAAATAGATTAATCAGTAAGAGTTTTGTAAAGGCCCTTGTGTAAAATCACTGTGTCAGGTATCCTACATTCATTGATTACCAATTACTCCCCAGTCTCAGAAGAGTTATAAACTGACATTTCTGATAATTGATTGATAGATTTGTGTCACTGTCTCAAAAACAAATTCTGCCCCAAAAATGTCTCCATTTAGCTTTTTAAAAAATAATTAGAAGGCGTAAATGCAGGTATTTCTTACTTCACAAAAAACCTTGGATGATTTTCCGTTTTGCTCTTTGAAACCAATATTCCTCAAAAGTTAATTAGCCACCCCACTCCCATATCACATTCGCTGAAAACCGACACTGTCCCACTTCCTTCAGTTCAAAGGCCGTTCTTATTTTGGAGGTGACTAGAAATCTGTATCAACACATATTTTTCCTCTTTGCCCTCAGAAATTAATTAACCAAAAACTTATAAGCCAAAAATGTGCCCCATCGACAAGCTTAAAAATTTACAACTAAACTTCATTAAACACGAATTACACCCTAGTCCTCGGTGTTAAGATGTGATCGAGTTAACTTTTACATATATTCGATCTCCACCAAATACCAACTATCATTTTCTTTTAGATCTTCAGTATCGAGTATCGCTAAGTTTATTATCACAAATCGAGTCAATTCGATTGATTTTCTCCGAGTGAAGCTTGAGGCGAATGGAGATCCATATTTTTCAGGTTTTGCGAATACTTACGAAAATACATTCTGTATTCCAAGGAATTTGGAGCTCCACTATCATAAGTTGAATATGCCATAGTCCTTCTGATCAAGTGAGAAAAACACAATTTTCTTCGGCAAGAAATCGATCTGTAGTTTCGCAGACCTTCGCGAGCTAACGAGGTAAGAGGGTAAAAGGTGGAAGTGAGCACACGAGCCATATGTAAAGCACGATATGATATAAGAGACATTTCTATTGGTTTATTTCAAAATAAGCCGCCACATGATTGGTGAATGTATTCAGTTCATTCCATCCGATCGAACGTGGAGTTTCCAGGAAACTGAAGAACATCTGCTTATTCGCTTTAAGACTGCAGGGGAAATCAAAATATTATTTTAGCGTCTTTTTTATCTGACCGGAAATATTCTCCGTTCATTTTTGTTACCTTCCTTTCTGAACTGTTTTTCTTTTGCGTTTATGATTGACGTTTAGCGTGTTGCGTGAGGTTGCGTGACGTTGAAGCGTGACCGAAACCTTGGGTTTATATCTATGGTACTTTGTACTTAAGTACATTGAAGAATAAAACCAAAGAGATCCCTCTAAGTTTCCATATAACCCTTAGGCTTCCATGGGTGACCAAGACAGAATTTCTCCTTACATCATCAATACAATATCAAGCAGGGAAGTGATGAGAATAGAGATTATAAATTAGGGGATTATTAGTTGATCCAATATCAAATTCTCAGAACTAATATCATGAAAATTGTATAGCATGCAGTAAGGAGAATTAGTAATGAGATCTTGGGAGTGAAAAGGTCAACTGAGATGCTTACTCAGTACAGGTTTTTTTTGGTAAGTATGAGATGAGGAAAATTTGAAAGTGATACAATTTTTCCAAATCATATGAGATTTCCATGTCAACACATGCAGGCCTTTGTTGACAGAAAAAAAAAGATAATTACATACAGACAAGTGAGAGCTATCACACTTTCAAAAAAATTGAGTAATAGAACACAAAAGCAGGGCAAACCAGTTTAATTTCTAAAAAAGACCTGCAGATAGGCAAATTATGCTGCCATTTGTTAATAAAAACAGTTGAAAGAGTGTGGTAAAAAGTTTGAACAATTCTCAGAAAACTGCCATGAAATTACTTTCCTGGATACTTAAAAAAAAAAACCTTCATAAATTATTGCAAAATTAACATTCTTCACACACCACAAACCCCAGCACTCTACATAAGTATTTCAATTAAAACTCTTCACAAACTTCAATTACA